TAACGTCTAATATCTTTGTAAAATTCACTTCCGGTCGCGCGTTTAAATGTCCGCAAAATGAGAACTTGTCCCAGTGATATCTCAGAAACAGTAAGAGATTTAGACACCAAACTTACAGGAGTAATAGACCTTGAGTAGTAGACAAAACCGTTTGGGTTAAGAGCGTCAGTCGTCACTTCCGGTCGTCAAAGGAAGTGATCAAAGAAATCAAAAATTTCAACTTTTCTCTTTTGAAATAAGACTTGCATCATATAATTGTATCTTTTACACAGGTTCGATATATGTTGGTCTCACCGGAAACAAAAAACGACAACTTCCGGTTATAAGAGAAAAACTACGTAATAGAGGTTTTTTACTTCCCCATAAATATCGCTTATAGATAAAGTTTTTTAAATGATTTAAAGATATATTATTGAGATTGCAGATGTCTAGAGTGACGTGAAATATCTTAGTAAAATTCACTTCCGGTCGCGTGTTTTCTTGTCCTCAAAATGAAAAGTTATTTCAGAGAGATCTCGGAAACGGCATGAGATTAAGACACTAAACTCATAGGAGCAATAAACCTTGGTGAGTAGGCAAAACATATAGGGTTAAACGCGTAAACCGTCACTTCCGGTCGTCACAGGAAGTGATCAAAGAAATCAAAAATTTCAACTTTTCTTTTTAAAATTAAAACTTGCATCACTTTATTGCTTCTCTTTCGCTGTTTTGAAATATGTTAGATTCTACCGGAAAGAAAAACTTTAAACTTCCGGTCTTAAGAGATAAACTACGTTATTTCGTGGTTTAACTTTCTCATAAATATCACTTATATATAAGTATTTGAAATGTTTTTTACATATGTTGTAGATACTGCAAAAGTCAAGAGGAAATTCAGAGATTTTTATTCAGTTCACTTCCGGTCGTGTGTTTTCCTGTCCTCAAAATAAGAATTTGTTCTCACAATTCTTCGGCAACAATAATAGACTGAAGTCTAAAAATTTCAGGACTTATAGTCAATCACCAGTTCATTTGCATCGTGTAAAAATCGTGTGTCGTCATTACTTCCGGTCGTGACAGGAAACGAAGCAAAAAAGTAAATTTTTTTCAGTTATTTAGCTTCTACATAAGTTTTAGGCTAATACCGACGTTGGAAAAGACATGTTGATGCAAACAGGAAGTAGTATAACGGAAGACCTTCTCATTACTAGTAATGAGTTTCTAGTTATTATTATTATTTTTTTCCCGTTTTTTGTCCAAGCGATTTCTCAGAGATGGCTCGATGGATTTTCTTGAAACTTTCAGGGATTATGAAAAATAAAATAAACTAAAAACATTTTTAAGGAATTTGCAAAATTCACTTCCCGTCGTCAGATATGTCCAATTTCCGTTTTTTCAAAAGAGATCATGTCCGGACGATATCTCAGAAACGGTAAAAGATTAAGACCTCAAACTTTCAGAGTTTATTGATCATGACAAGTACGTTTGCAGAATATGTTTAAATCCGTCAGCCGTCACTTCCGGTTGTCACAGGAGGAGATCAAAGAAATCGAAAATTTCAACTTTTCTTATTTTAATTAAATCTTGCATCACATTATTGCATCTGTTTTACAGTTTCGAAATATGTTAGTTCCACCGGAAACAGAAACGTCAACTTCCGGTTATAAGAGAAAAACTACATAATTTGAGTATTTTACTTTCCAATAAATATCGCTTATAGATGAAGTATTTGAAATGATTTTTAGATATGTTATTTAGACTGCAAATGTCTAGAGTAACCTTAAATATCTTGGTAAAATTCACTTCCGGTCGCATGTTTTACTGTCCGCAAAATGAGAACTTGTCAAAGTGAGATCTCAGAAACGGTAAGAGATTAAGACACCAAACTTATATGAGTAATAGAACTTAATGAGTAGGCAAAACTTTTTGGGTTAATGGCGTCAGCCGTCTCTTCCGGTCGTTACAGGAAGTGATCAAAGAAATCGAAAATTTAAACTTTTCACTTTTGAAATAAAACTTGCATCATATAATTGAATCTCTTTCACAGTTTCTATATGTGTTGGTCTCACTGGAAACAAAAAAAGACACTTTCCGATTATAAAAAAGAAACTATGTTATTGGGATTTTAAACATTCCCAAAAATATCACTTATTGATAAAGTTTTTGAAATGATTTTTACATATGTTATTGAGACTGCAATTGTCTAGTGTGAAGTCAACCATCTTAGGAAAATGCACTTCCGGTCGCATGTTTTTCTGTCCTCAAGTTGAGATTTTGTTCACCTTAATGCGCAAAAACACTACATGACTGAAGTCAAAAACTTTCAGAACTTATAGTTAGTTACCAGTTTATCTACATCATGTAAAAATCGTACGTTGTCGTCACTTCCGGTCGTGACAGGAAGCGATGCAAAAAAGTGAATTTTTAAAGTTTTTTTTTTTTTTTTTTTTTTTTTTTGCAGAAATGTTTGGCTAATGCAGATGTTAGATAGACCATGACCATGCAAATTATTTTTATACATTTTATTCGTTTGGAGCACTTTCATTCATGACGAAGTACATAAAGAAAACAGAAAAGTAATTCCGTTTGTTTTTATCTGTATCTACATATCTTTGGAAGCCTTGAGATAACTTTTGTTATTATTTAGAGTAATCTTATTGAGATGATTGTGGGGTTTTTTTTCAAAGAAGTCAAGAAAACGGAAGACCTGTTATTGCCTAGGCAATAAGTATCTAGTTCTTCTTATTATTTTTTTGACTTTCTAATTTTGTGCACGCGATTTCTCAGAGACTACTGGATGGAATTTACTGAAATTTGCAGGAACAATGTGTTGTAATATGAAGTGATTTTATCCGAGAGATTTTTTGGAAAATCTCTTCCGGTGCCAAGTTACAGACCATTTTCTGAATTTAAAAAGACATTTTGTCCGCGGATAATCTCAAGAACGGTAAAACATATCAATATCGAACTTTCAAGGATTATAGATCGTGAAAAATACTAGCCGGGACATGACCTTTTGTTCGTCGTCGGTACTTCCGGTTGTTACCGGATGCTAATTTAAAAATTCGCATTTTCTAACTTTTTTGTTTTTCAATATTTTTCTTTGATATTAGTTAGGATAATAGAAGCATTTCCAGGAAGGCTTTATATATAATTTGTTTAAAAATTGATAAATCCAATCTCTAGATATTTGCATTTTAAAATTTGAAGTGGGTCCAAAATGGCGTCTGTGTCCGTAAACTCCGACGAGCAGGTCGGCACTCGGAGCTCCTCGGGTGGCTTGTACCTCGCACACTAACCTACAACGTCAACGGTGTCCTATTATTTCGGGTTTAATCCCGATTATGTCTGAATTTTCTTTCTCATTTTTTACCTTTAATTTACGTTTTCATCTTTATAAATGATGTTTTTTTCTGTGTGAATCCACCGCTATTTTCATTTGTTTTAAATAAATCTTTAAAAATCATTGCATTTATGAAGGACCCATGTTATATTTAACGGACATTGGCACGTCAAGGTTTTCCTGAGAAGAAAAGGTTAAATACATGGGTTTTTTCACTTATGAAATAGTGATTGAGAGTGATCTCCCGTGTAGAATTCTCTAAGCGGTGAAAACCAGTAAAGCATATGTTTACAGAGGTAAACAAAAAGCACGTGTACTTCCTTCAACGGGTAGAATCATCTATATAGCAAGAAAGAAAAGTAGTAATGGCTTTGTTGTACATTGTATTCAGAAGACAAAGAGCCAATAGGTCGTCATTTACCATAGTCATGCTCAGTATGCTGGGAAAGGCAAAGATGTGACATATGCTGAAAGGTAGACCGACTGAGATCAGTTTCTAGGTTGTATGAAGGAATCAGCATTTAGTAACTACGAATAAAAATTGAAATACATCCATGCCAATATTTTTTTATGACAATGTGTTTCAATCAATTTAGTCAATTACATGATAGAATCAATCAACCAGTCTGACTCTCCTGACCCTTATGAATAATATGTAATTATACCTGTTAAGGGAAGTAACTCAAAAATAGAGATCGGTGCCGGTATGTCCTTGTCTTGTTTCTATATTTACATTTTCAGCTTGAATATCTAGAAGTCATAGGAAATGAAAATACAATAATGTATATAAAACAAAAACCATATGAAATAAGTGAGTTTTGGAGAAATATGGTGAAAGATTATGTAGGTCCCTTTTATCAAGATTTTACATAGGAATGTACATTTGACAGAATCTGCGTCAGCCGTCACTTCCAGTCGTCACAGGAAGTGATAAAAGAAATAAAAAAATTTCAACTTTCCTTTTTTAATTGAAAATTGCATCACTTTATTGCATCTTTTTCGCAGACTCGAAAGATGTTTGCCACACCGGAAACAAATACGACAACTTCCGGTTATAAGAGAAAAACTAAATAATTTGACTATTTTACTTTTCCATTAATATTCTTTATAGATAAAGTATTTGAAATGATTTTTAAATATGTTATTCGGAGTGCAAATGTCTAGAGTAACCTTGAAAACGTCAACTTCCAGTTTAAGGAGATAGCACGTTGGATTTTCACGCTGACGACCAGGGTTAAATTTCCAGAGTGTTTGAATTTCTTTTCTCACTTTTCAGCTTGAATTTACGTTTTTATTTTAAGAATCGGACGGAAGACCTCTCATTGCTCGCAATGAGATTCTAGTTAAAATTATAATTTGTACGCTCATTGTGTTACAATGTGCTGCATTAAATATGCTTAAGGGAGAAGTTCTTTTTGGACAAATTTTGATTATAGACATCCCAAAAAAAATAATGATAATAATAAAATACAATAAAATAAAAAAATAAATAAATAATGATAAAAAAAAAATCGCCAAACAATTCTGGGTATATCATGCATGAAGGCAAAGGACAACCAAACGTCTCTAAAGTCATAAGATGTTATTTCCCGATTTTTCATAGTAAGCTTTGTTTGGTTTTTACCTAAAAATATACACGGAATTATAATCATTTATTTCCTTTTTTTCTCTCTAACAGGTTGTGACTTCGGTAGATATGGAAAGAATTGTGTTGAGATCTGTAACTCCAACTGTAGAGTTTGTAACAGGTTTACTGGTGTGTGTGAGCTTGACTGTTATGCTGGATGGAAGGGGACGTTCTGTGAAAATGGTATGGTTTTGTTTTCGATTATCATTGAAAACATTTTTTACATAAACATATTATAAAAAAAAAAACAGTGAGAAAATATATGTAAAGATTCAAATTTAAAGGAATTAGGTCTCATTTTCTTCAATATAATATGGAATTTGGTAATGGAGCTAAACAAAGAGATCACATTCATTTTTTTTCCTGATTTTGCTTATGTCTTCTTTTAAAGGAAGTCTATACCATACATTTTAATATATCGCCTTCTATTATATTGTCTTTCTACAGATTTTTACAGTTTTTCTTTGACCAGAACAGCCCTTTTCTTTACAAGAAACTCTAGAACTAGATTTATGAAATATTTTTTGTTGTAGAATGTGATGGGCGGCAGTATGGACACAATTGCAATCAGTCATGTGGTTCTTGTTCGAATTTCGAACAATGTCACCATATAAATGGGACATGTTTAAATGGGTGCGACAAGGGATATCAGGGAGAAGAATGTACAAAAGGTAGGCCTTTTTCTATTTAAATGCATCTTAAATCAGGAAATGCATTTAAAACTTTTACATGGAGTTTCAAACAAATGACATAAGAAGAAAAAGAAATGGGAAATTTTGTACCAGGTCTCTAATATTTTTTTTATATAATTGTTTATTGTTTTCTTTTCTGTTTTCTTCAAGGATTATCAGACATTGTATTTCAGAAGAAAAAAAGATCATCAAAACTGACCAATTACAAACACGACTTTGAAATTTGACATGTTTCCTTTATTCCCAGAATGCATTGAGGGACGTTATGGCTATAACTGCCAGGACCTGTGTAACATTAACTGTGGTGTCCCTGGTAGATGTAACAGAGTTACAGGACAATGTGAGGGTGGCTGTCAGTCGGGATGGAAAGGGTCAAAATGTGACAATAGTAAAGATATTTCAGTATTATATGCATTTATCAATCTTGCGTACTTATGCTAAAATAAACAACCAAGATCAGTTATCAATTTAACAGAATTAGGGATGGAATGTCAGAAACATTTTGTTGCTGCATACAGTTGTTGATATTAATGGAATATATATCAGATGCAAGCAAAACAAACAAAAGGATTATTTACAATCAAAAAGGGATCTCTTTGGCAAAGTGAATGAAAAAATACTAGTTGACAAGTAAGTTGAATTTCCGGTGCTTTTTTTGTGATAAACTGAAATTATGCTCAGTTATGCGAAGTTTCCTTGGAAATATATATACTAAAAAGAAAATCAAACTTGGATTAATTTTATTCTGTAGAATGTGATGGTGGTAAATTTGGATTAAGCTGTGCACATACATGCGGTGTTTGCATTGAGAAAGAACAGTGTCATTATTTGAACGGGACCTGCTTGAATGGCTGCGGCAGGGGGTATCAAGGGAAAAACTGTATACAAGGTGACAAAATCAGTTCTCAGAAAGAGAATGTATTATATTCCCTGCATTTCGAATTAAAGACAATCAGTCTTGTGGAAAAGTAGGTATATATTGCAAATAATCTGTTTTAGTGAAAGGGTAAAGAAAGACTGGGATTAAGATGATAAAAATGCGTTCATTTCGTGAAATTAAAAAAAAATCGTTTTCTTAATTTTTTTTTTTATTTCTTTAATCCCTGGATTACGATTATATTAAAGTTATTATGCATATCTTAATGTGGCAACTAAAAAAAAGATCGTGTTATACTAGGCGTAATATTATTAATATTATTAATTAATGGAACAAAAGTAATATACATTTTTTCTTAAATTATTTAGAGCATCGTTTATTCTTAATAACAAAATATTATTTTAAACGTATGAAATACCTGATTTCATAGTACCTCCTATATTTTTCTTAAAAATAAAGTTGAAAATAAAGACTTTAATATGTCTTTTACCAATTTAGAATGCGCCTGGGGTTTCCATGGTTACGGATGTAATGAAACATGCAGCACTGAGTGTTTTAATGGAACATGTGACGCAATGACGGGAGCGTGTCCACAGGTGGGTCGAACTGATTTAAGTTCAGACTGATATGCGTTATAATCTATTTTTTAAATCATTTAATTAATACAATTATCCAAATTTATTCTTAAAAACGCCGGATGATTTTTTTTTTAAATATATGTATGATTTGCGGGGTATTTCAAAATTTGGACTAGTAAAACGTTAACAAACATCTTTTTTTAAATAACAAACAAGCTTATTCTTGTGAAAAAAGTTATAAAAAAACTAATTATACAATTTTGAGTGAACGAAATAAATTCCTTTAAATAAAGTCAACAACATGTTACATCAAATTAAGTTCCTTTTTAAATTTATTCGATTTATCATTTTTATAGGTAAATTCTATAAACCTTAAAAGCCAAATTTGATTCGGCAAGTTAAATTCCTTACAGGATATTCAGGGGTTTGTTTAGACATATATTACCCGCTATTACAAATTTAGAACTTTGATTCAACCAATTGAATATGTTATAACAAGATCAAATTTGAAATTTTGTTAAACAAAATTAATGAGTTGTCACAAGTTTTTGAATGGAAAAAAACCCAGATTGAATTTCTTTTAACGAAATGCAAAATTTGTAATCACAAATTTAAAAACAAAATAAAAGTTCTTGATTGCCTTCTATAGATTTTTAATTGCACTTTCGTCAGGTATTGTTTTCATTTAAGTAAGCTATGAAAAACATGTATCGTTGATACATGAAAAAGGTGAAAATAACGAACAGTGATAGTACAAACAATACAAAATATGTGAACAGTGCATAAACATGGAGACCTTGAAATTCTAGAGTAGATATTATTTGCCTAGGAGGAGTAATTAAGCATCGCTTGTTGACAGGTCACACCCGCCATGACATGAACCCTATGTATTGATCAAGTAGACAAAACACTCCGTAGTCAAATTTAGTACCAAAGCAAAGGCACAACACTCCATATAAAATAGTCGGCCAAATTACGACAGAGTGATAGGCTATATTTGTTACTAATGTTATTATAACGACCATATGATTGTAAAAAAAATGTGATTTTTAACGAAGCTGTTGAAACCCCTGCCACATCAACTTACCTATGTGTAACCTGCCTTGGTTTGAAAAAAAAATGATCGTACCTAGAGCATGCTCTTCAGTGGCGAATAAATTTGGAGACATAAACACCATATGCAGGTGATAACGGAATATTACTACATAAATTAAAGTTGACAATGGAAAATTAGCAGAATATTACTACATATTTAAGGAGAGTTGATGTCGAAAAGCTGAAGTCATCTCATTTGTCATACAATGTAGTTGTTAGTTTGAAATAGAACAAGCAGACTCCATGGTTTTTTTTTCAAGTTCACTGGGATATATCGAGTCGATGTATTAATGGAAAAAAACTATTGCTAAATTTAAAAAAAGTCGTCGATTTATCTGAACTTCGAGATGAAAGTCATGGCAATTTTTTTGTTCATGAATAAAATCTGCTTCTTAATGTGTTAAATCAAAACCCTAGAAGGGCAGCGTAATCCAAGAATCAAAATTGCACTTTTTAACGTTTTGAAATTATAAACCTTTACTTGAAGAACTTTACACAAGATATTAAAATCTTTATATATATACAAGTAATTCAAAGATAATTTCAGAAATCTTTGTTCAATTCATTTTTTAAAAGAATAACAACGCAATTGCCACACGGACAGGGAATTAATGAATAAGAAATATAAATATATATTTACATTCATTTTTTTTTAAACTCAAGAAATTTAAAAGGTTATCTAATATGTATGAATCAAGCTTTTACTTATCCAAGAATAATATCGTTTGGAGAAATGGATTATTTTTCTTCCTTAGAATGTATTATTTTGCATGAGGCAAACAACAAATATATTTTTCAAGGAAAGGGAGTTTCTACTTAGAAATAAATGTACAGGGCAATCGCCTTATTTGAGTAATGATCAGCCAATAAGACCAAGTGAAAACTGATTAAAAACACTTGAATGCAATATATTAATTGCTTAAAAACAGTGACCTTTAAGGTATCAACTCTAAAAGATATAACTCATGATCAGCGTTATTCAAAGGAATTAACTTAACTATTCTTATGTTGTTTCCAAGCCCATTTCTCATATCAAATCAGGTATTTTTTTCAGTTTTTGGTAAAATGTAAGATAAAAATAGCAGGGGGGTTTTCATTTTTTCATCAATTATTTTTTTTTTGTATTTTCAGTTTAAAAAGGATTCCGATTAAACTTTAATACTCTACAAGTTAATCTATCTTTGACATTGAGTTATATCTCGCATAATCAATGCAATAAATTTTGTTTTGTCATGCTATCCTTTATACCTTAACAACCCGAGGCATGTTGCTTGGTCAGGTGGCTGTGTGTGTTCAAACGAGAGGTGATTTCTTGCCCTGAATTCACAACTTTGCGTGCATTATATAAACGACTGGGTAAAGCAGCATACACCGAATAAGTGGAGCAGCTGATCAACCCTGCTACTGTTGGGCATATTTATTTATTTTAGGCGAGGAAAAAAGGGCATGGCATTGAAAAGTAAGGCATGGCACCGCACCATGCTAGTTTGCATTAGATTTTGCTCCTTTATTAGCTGACCTGCTTTTATTTTTTTCTATAAATCATAGGAATATAAAATATTGGTCGGCTTGTAATGGAGCACAATTAGTACCAATCATGATTCAAAAAGTTTGCCTTCAATTTAATAAAATACTTAAGTATATATATTTTCATTGAAGAATAGTTTCCCACAGTATCCAAATATGCAGTAAAACGGTTTATGATATCAATATTATCTCTAATTTTTATTTTTTTTATGGAAATAAGGATTTTGAATGAATAAGCTGTATCAATTCTGCACCTTACTGTGTACTCTTTTCATTCCTCGTGCAGGTGTCTGCTCCAGATCCCCAAGAAATCAACACTGGTCCTATCATAGGAGGAGCTGTGACAGTCATTGTTGTTAGCCTGGCGGTTGTCGTATTAGTTTTTGTTTTCAGAAGGTAATTGTGATACATGTTCTCATTACTCCTTTACTTGGTAATGTTTTATATTTTGCTAACTTTTGAATGCTAATATTCTAACACATTTAATTGAAAACTTAGGAACATGTGATAAAAGCTATTTTTATATTAGCAGTGGATATCTATTTAAATAAAAAAAAATGTGATGGCAGCCTTTTAAACTCACTAGTTCTGAAAGTATACCTTATAAAATGGCTTTATTGATTACTTGTTTAGAAATGAAAGACTTCATTTATTATTAATATAATTCTATCATTGTTTTTAATGGTTAAGGAAAAGTTCAAATGGGACAGACAATGAACAAAATCATATAGAGAAGAGAGCTGAACAAATGTGTTCAGAAAATACATTAGCTAATATAGATATCTATGACATGATCAGCGAGAACGGACTGTATCAATAACTTGGAACCAGGACAGAGGTAACAGATGATGGTGGATATCAGGGACTGGGACTCAGGACAGAGGTATCTGATAATGGTTGGTATCAGGAACTGGGACCACGGACAGAGATCTATGATCAATCTAAAGACAACGCAGCATACCAGGAACTGGGTCAAATAAGTCAACTCTCTCATTATGACAAATTACATTAGCTTGGATTTGGGAAAATTTAGTTTTCTTCTTCAAACATCAATGGTAGAGCGCTCGCTCTGTGATCGGGAGGTGGTGAGTTCGAATCTCGGCCGCGACTGACCTAAGTCGATAAAAAATAGGTAGCAACTGTTCCTTCGCCAGGCGCTCGGCACTTTGAAGTGAAAGTTGCGGGTCCTTCGGATGAGACCTTAAAAACCGAGGCCCCGTGTCACGGCAGGCGTTGGCACGATAAAGATCCCTCATTGCTCAATGGCCCTGAGTGCCGAGTAAAGGTCAAAATTTGAAGCCCTTCACCGGTATATGGTGACGTCTCTATATGAGTGAAAAATTCTCGAATGGGACGTTAAACAACATACAATCAATCAATCAATCAAACACCAATGATAAGAGAAAAAACACTTATACATGTATATGTACTAGTGTAAAAAAAAAAAAAAAACAAACAAACCATAAAACATCTCTATAATGTTAACTGTCCAGAAAGTGTTTTATAGGTCTACAAATATTCGAGTAATATGAAAAGAAATTGTACACGAAGAAGCAAAGTGTCTTATTAAGGGAGTCTATTGTTTAATATTACTTTATGCATTGATTTCTGATGGAAATAAAAATCGATAAGATTTAAATACAATTGTGGGTTGAAGCTCAACTGTTAAAAGTAAAGAGTCATGGAAAAATGTTAGTCTCAACCAACTCTCCCATTTTTCAACTTAATTTACTTGAGTCAAGGTTTATTAAATGAAGGGAGCCTAAAAATTTCTCCAATTTAAGAAATTAATTTTGTTAATATTAGTATTAATCTTTCGAATAACCAAGATTGAATATCTTTGTTACATATCGTGTATCGGGGCATAATTTTGAGGTGAACACAACTGAATTATGTGTTCTAAACTGTTGTTTTTAATAACATAAAAATGGCTTAATATTTGCTACATTTCCGAATATCACAAAAATAAAATGTATCAACATTGCCTACAGTATCTCAGAAAACGGTAATTGATTTTCTTTTACCTCCTCTTTAGATTAATATCGGATTAAATATGGGTATCCGGATTCCTTTTCACATGATTTTGATTGATTAAATTGACATCTATAATATAAAAAGTGTTTTTACCAAAAATGGCCTTTATTTGAAGAAATTTGACTGTAGAGAACTCAGAAAAAGCGAAGGTAACCAGTTATCAATTGTGCCCAATATGGCATCATATATTGATTTTTATTTTAATTTAATATTTTTTAAATCGAAATCTGTTGAAGACAAAATATTTTTTTCTTAAGTGTACAAATGAAGGTTATGTGAATGCGGAAATTACAATTCATTATATCTGTCAGGAATTGATATAAAATGTATTTAAATACTACACATTATTTATTTGTTTATAATTCTTAGATTTGTCGGTTTTAAATGAATAATGATATAAATTCAAAAATGCATTGATCATACAATACAAATGAATTTTGCTGGGATAGGGAAATCTTGCCAGAAAAGATCCAAAAAAGTAGTTGTTAATCAAAACCAAATATGATGGTTTTTTTTTTATATATATATACATTTATTTCTATCTTGCCAAAGACCATTTTCATGTTTGTCCAAGTATGTACTTGCAAAACTTTAAATGTGATATCACATACGTGTTATTTTGTCATGCATTTTAAATCTGGATGACGAGAAAGCTTTTACCTGTAAGTGCAATTGTAGACAATACGTTGCAGAGAAAAAAATGCGCATATAAAAATCACAGATGAAAACGCGTACGCCGAGGTAATTATAACTGACAAGCTCACTAGTGAAAGCGCTATCTTAAAACCATGCAACAGAGGACAAAAAATAAACTCTATGATAAATTTTGCAGTGCACAAACCCGGTATGAGCCCCGTTTAAGCTATGGAAACTACGGAAAACTGTTGTTGAACCAGCCGTTCGCTATTGATGCTAGATGTGGACAATCATTTCAAACATATTGTAATGTGGCAAAGATTTACAGCACACTGGATCCAAGGATTTGATCGACAATCTCTATCACCATACACTATGTATTCGTTGGGACATTAAAAAAAAAAAAAAAACCCAAAAAATTTCTCTTCTGAAATCGTCTCTGTAGATCTAGCTACCCCTTACTTCCAAGCGTCTGTTTATTGTAAGTTTGTGTACTTTCCCTGAAGACAAAGACACACTTCAAAAGAAATGTGGATTTTTAAATTGTATTTACAAGATAATGAAATGTTACAATATAGAATACTTCTTCAGCGAGTACCTCATTAATAGAGTTTGTTTGTTGTTTAACGTACCTCTAGAGAATTTTTCACTCATATTGAGACGCCACCAGTTGCCGATGGATGACTGCAAATTTATACCTATACTCGGCACTCAGAGCCATTGAGAAGTAAGGGATCTTTTTCGTGCCAACACCTACCGCGACACGGGACCTCGGTTTATACGATCTCATCCGGAGGATCGGTCTCCACGTCTCGCAGTGGATTAGAACCTGCGACGTAAAGATCAACTCCTTACTCCGCGACTCTAGAGCAGACGCTCTAACCACTGCGCCACGAGGGTGACTCATTAATACAGACACATCGACAAAATTTTGTTGGAACCAGTACATCAGCAATCTTATGAACCTTTCTTCTTATGATGAATGGGGAATCTCTTAAAAAGGCCTACCAGAACTAAATATTTTCTCGGAAATACATCGAAAAGTAACTACCCAGCCACTTTGAACACTTAGTCTCCAGCACCCAGAACATATGTGTAAATTATTTGAACTCATAAATCTTTTAATTACGTATGAGACGGGAGAAGTAATGTGTAAATTATGCAAAAGAAAAATACAGGAAATCGCTCTACATTTTACTTTAGACTGTCCAAATCTGTTCAAAAGCCATGGACATTTTATGAACCTGATTGTCTACTGCTTACCAGTGAATATATTTTTTGAGCTCCCATACAAGTCCGATTGATTGATTGACTGTACGTTGTTTTACGTCCCATTCGAGAATTTTTCACTCATATAGAGACATCACCATATGAAGGGCTTCAAATTTTGAATCGGCACTCAGTGCCATTAAGCAGTGAGGGATCTTTATCGTGCCAACACCTGCAGTGACACGAAGCCTCAGTTTTTAAGGTCTCATCCGAAGGACCCACACTTTCACTTCAAAGTACCGAGCGCATTGCGAAGTAACAGTTGCTACGCATGTTTTATCGACTTAAGTCAGTCTCGGCCGAGATTCGAACTCACGACCTCCCGATCACGGAGCGAGCGCTCTACCGACTGAGCTACCGTGAACGGTCATTCAAGTCCGAAACTATTATGGTAAATACACTTCTAGGGTCTAGGAAGAACAGAATCATTCCAGGATATGAATGGATCACGTTTATCATGTGGGTCTCTACCGGAATTACATCGATGATGAAGGCTAGAAAATCTATAATGATTAAAGACAACAGCATGTTCAAGTTTCATTGGGAAAAAAAATCACGTGATCATTTTTCTTTATTGCACCTGTACATATATATTTGTGTTTCAAATCTATGAACTGATGTTAAGTAAATGTTTTTCATTATCTTTATGATAGAATCAATCTCTATATTATAGAGGAATTAAAGATTGTCTATCTGTCTGTCATTATAAAGCTGCATGTGTTTAATTTTTATTCATTTCTTTTGTATAAAGTTGATTGTTTGTATTGATTAATATTTCCTGTTTTAGGTTTTTCGTTTAAACTTAACATTTCTTTTTGATCATTTTTATGTCAATTTTCTTTTTGTGTTTCTGTTTCTGTTTTCATTGTTATAGCTACATTAAAATATTTTATATGAATTTTTTTTTCATATTTCTTTTTTCAAATTTATTATTATTGTGATTTAAACGCTCCTATATTGTCGGTCAGTTTAGCAATGATTTTCCATTTTCTTCACTCACAAACAACTTATCAAAACCTAATATGTGTTTATTACATTAATGAATTTAAAGGCCTAAAATTTAATTACACAGTCCGTACTTCAAGTCTATGTAGAAACTTCCAGTCATTGTTAATGGAAATGTTGATGATAATGAATAGTGGTCGATTTTTAGAAAATCAACAAAAATGTATATCTGTGAACAAGGCATAAAACACAGTTCCCCAAAATTCAAGAGGTGAGATCGGACGCCCAGGAAGCATCCAACGGTGGCCCGCCGCACCTGCCGTAAGCCCTAAGTATTAATCGTGTGAGGGGAATTTTCTGTAGTATAAACACAAAGGCCTTACAATAGGTATGAAAAAAGTCAGACAAAACAAAACAAAACAAAACAACCCACTGATAGGTAATATTTGTAAACAAAGTCACTCTTACGATATATACTTTTTATTGTGTATATTAACACTGTATAGATCTGGAAGATTGCACCACACCGTAAATCATCATTAGAATATTTATTTGACTGCGGTACCATGTTTGTACAACAGAGTGGATTTGATAGAGAAAATACATTAAACCATTTAATTGTAATTAATATTCTAAAAATAAAACAAAACAATTTGGGTGTGTCTTCTACAACCGCTGATTCCTTTTGTTTAATGATTTGCCTATTGGACCTTTTCCCCCAAAAATTTTAAATATAGATCATATATCTGGTATACATTCACAGTTGATAAAGGGTTTTAAAAGCTGAATCTCACAAGCAGAAATACTTCCTTGATATGAAAAGTAATGATATTTGCTTTTTCCATATGTAAATTGCTTATCAAATGCAATGGATGGCAGATGTTATCAATTTTATTTTCTTGTTGTCAACTCCATCGTTAGGTGAAAATAAAAATTGGAAATGAGAGTTCTATTATAAGCTTCCATTTATTTGACAAACTAACATTGGCAAAGTTCTATATATTAGCTGGTTGTCTGGAAATAAAGACTGTCGATTTTGAACTGATGGTGATTCGATTTCTATACTGACTTGTTCTTCTGTACCCTTCAAATTTAGCGATCTATAAACTAAATCCAAATAACATATAA